TCTCAGTTGTTGAAGTACAGTATGGATTTCCCGCACTTCCCCCTTGGAGGTTCAGGAGATATTTTGCTCGACTTTTTACTCTGGTGCTAAATGTCTTATTCCTCATTGATAAAGTTTCTTGGACAGGCACACTTAATTCTCTATGATATTCTATGATAATGTTGATTCTGGTACTTAGAACTCTCTGTTTTATGTATCTAATCTTTTGAAGAATCGGTTGTAGAATGTCCATATTATGTGTAATCATAACGATTTGTATGTTTCGTATGTCGTGTAAGAATGAATTGCCCGGATTTAGATCCCCTGATAATCCTCCTCTTGAGCTTTCACACATTATTCCTTCATTATTTGTGACTTCTTGTATAGTATGCGCCGGCCAGCGCATATCTAAAATATCCCCAGTAGGTGTGAGACTTGGTTTCTGAAAATCCTTAAACAAAGACTCTTTACAGGAACTATCAATATTGCCTTTATTTTTCAGGATTTATGTATAATCCCTTCCGAGACAAGATCCTGAAGTCTATAGTAATTTCAAGTGTTTCTGAACATGTGTCAATAATAGCCTAGTATTCCTGAGGCGCACAATGTCAGTACTGTTATTGATGCCTGCTATATGTCCATTGCCTCATCCCCCCAAGGACAAATTATGAGCAGGATTATGGCACTTCGTGGAAGACGATGTCTTCATGTGTTATAAGGATGAGAAAGTTCTTCTTTCCATAATGAGCAGGGAATAACTTTTCTCTATTGATAGGGGACATCTGATACTTACGATGCCGTTATCGTACGCAAACCATAATAATGCAGAGGTTATCCTAAAAATCCCTTCCAAAATTCGGAATTCAATTATTCGATTCTTGCTTTAATTTCTCTCTGGTTGATGTCTTGTTTCTCCCCACATTATTCTATATGGTATATGCCCCTATCCCTATATATACTTCTCCATTTATATCTATACCAGCATGTCTGGATTTATTCATATATGAATATTTATAAAGATACATGCTTGTTCGCGTATAAGTATAGGGACTTATATATTCATATGGATTCCTAATTATCGACATAGGACTGCACAGGAATAGAAAGGAAGAACTCTGATTTCTCTATTGACTGTGGCATTTTGAAATACTGAGTTCATTTTGGCGAATAGATTTGTCCCCTGAGTTTTATCTCTATCTTGTGTTTCATCTATATATATACTGGGGGATATAGGAGTTCATCACAGTCATGTATGTGACGCGTACCCTACCGAGAGAGGACTGAGGGCTTCCCAGAAAGAGGGACCATCCTCAGCATCAGACTCTGTTATACTCTTCTGGTTAATGATAATAACAGGGCATAATTTAAGAGTCACTTCTATGTAATATTAATATTATGATATAGAAGACGCCGGAGAATATATTTTTAATAGACGAAGGGAGGAGAGAATAATTAAGATTCACGACATGTTCGAATTATTATTCGGCGGCTGTCCTTAGGATTCATCCACAATGGCTTTTATCAATACCATTGAGGATGAGCCATATTCTCAAGAATGCTAATGAACAATTCTCAAGTCGCTACAGAGGCTCGCAACGATATTGGCGCAGTATTATGGTAGAAATCCTAAAAAAAGGAAGCATGCGGATAAATATCACAGGAGTCACTTGGAACTTATGGTTACGCATTCTGTGATTTATAATTGACGATGTATCAAGAAATGACTTCAGGGAGCAATTATTGTTTTAGTACTCAGAATCAGTAATCTTCTTATATTCGACGTATGGCTGAAAAGAGAATACATATCGTAAACACTTATGTTGATATATACCATTGTATATATGAAAGGTCTGGATTTCAGTTTAATGGCCCCATAATATGAAGTACCCGATTGTACAACCCCTAAGAATTGTTAGCCACACCATTATTTTGATCGTACTATAGTGTTAGGAGTACTATAATGTGAATGGTACCCCTGTGTGTGAAATATTGATATTCCAAGAGTTTTATTATATGGAGAACACTATTCCGTGGAGTTTATGGATATTAGAGGAAAATTATTGCTTACACAGTACGGATGTGTATGGATTCTGAATGCTGATGATTACAGAAGTTTTCGTATTGCTGTTATATGAATGTACTAATGGTTGAGCTGTGGTAATATTTGTCGTGCATTGTTTTCTGAATAGACTACCTCCGTAGGCAGTAAGAATAATCTTGAGCAGTAATTTGTGAGTATACTCATATGTGCGTAAAACTGTCATTTAGGAAGCAGGGTTATGCGCGAATTATAAGTGTCCCTGAAACAAGGATATCTGAGGGATTTGAACTCCGACGCTCTGGATTTCCGTTTGTATTATACGAAAAGCACTGCTGTCTCAGATTGGCTGCAATCCCTGAAGTATAATTATATTACCAGCGCTGCAATGCGTGAAGCTCCGAGACTTCAGCAGCACCATTTTATCAAGTGTAGAGATATCCTTAAATTACGGCTTTGTCAGAAGAACTTAGCTTCAAGTGTTGATATTCCCAGAGTACTATCATGTGAATAGTCCCGATGTTTGACGAGTATTCATCTGGGAGGAATAACATGGTGGGGATGAGCACTACAGTGCCCGTAGTACTATGATTTAAATAGTACTGACCTGCAGAAGCTAACATTATTTCTACTTTGTATGTGTGTTCCAAGAATACGATTATATGAATGAAATCATTGGATGAAGTTTGCAGATATACGTGTTGTAGTATTATATAAGGAGAAGAAGTGTGTAAGCCGCTAGGATATGTCACAAGTGTCCAGGATTGTGAAGTGTAGAGCTGTACCCGCAGTATTATTATAGAGCGTTCAGGGATTATACAGGTACTGTAAGAACGACTAAATCGTTTGAACCTTGGAAACCGCCTGGAAGACATTTATTTGAGGAGCACCAATATAATTGTGGTGATTCAGTGTGGAAGGCGTGAGTATATTGAGAGTGCCATTCTGTTGAGTCCACTGACATGCTGAATGCACTATTAGGTGAAATGTAATGATGTTCTAGGGGAGGGTTATCTGAAGGGTTCCATTGCGCCTGCAGTGCCCTTATTTCAGCAGCACATCTGCGTAAAGGGTAAGGATATCCTCCAGTGTCACCTTATATAAAGAGTATCCACGTGTTTGTAATACTTATATGTCGAGAGTAGTAACACCCTTATTCTATTGGTATTTGAACACAGGATATACACTTGGGGTACCATTACTTGTACAATACTGGGGTGGATTTCCATTTCCAGTAATGTCCGCGGATATAAGTGTACTACTATTATGTGACGAGTATAGTGGTGCATGTACTAGTGTATGTGAAGGATTCAGGGTTTATGCTTTAATTATATGAATAAAAGTGTCCTGTGAAGTCCATGGATATTCCAGTATAACTATTGTTTAGGGAGTACCATTGTCTCTACTTTCTCAATGATGAGGAGTCCCGAAGTCCCCATAGTACTGTTCTATGAAAGTATTAGTAGTCGAGCTATATGGATCACCTTGAGTGCTACTATACTGACGGAACCATTATGTGTGGAGTTTCCTGCCTTTATGAGTAAGATAACCTTTGGAGTACGATTTTTTGGGAGAGTAATCCTGTGAAAGGAGTATCGTCCTGTTTACAACCCTCTCGTGTGGATAATACTTACATTTGAACAGGATATTTGCTGAAGAAGTATTCATGACTTGGAGTACTGTTATGGGGACACTATAGATGTATGTAAAGTACTCATATCTAAGGATGCCTGATATGGCTTGTACAATGCCATTTGATGAGTGCCGAAGTTAAGCCGGTACTATTATGTAAAGTAAAGAGAGGTGCAGAATTTATGACTTAGCTTTGTGCCGTATGAGGAGGTGCTACCCTTACATAACGTGTGGATGTTGCCGTGGTACCTCCGTATAGAGGGTCCCTTTGTTTAGGACACATGGATTTGTGAATGGCATTGTTAGTTCAAAAGGACTAATGTTATGTATAGAGTAGTTTGTTCTGATGAGTACAGCTGTCCTTGGAATAGCATTATTTGAAGGCTCGTCATGTTGGTTTAATGGCTGGATGATATGACTTGGGCGATTCTTCAGATTTGACAGGTGCCCTCCAATCATTTGGTCTAAACAGTAGAGCTATGCCAAGGCTACTATAATGTGAACCGTATTATTGTGTCAAGAATACTGATTTTCGAGGGGTGTCATTATTCGTAGGGTAATATTCTATGAAGTGCATGAATATTCTACAAGGGTAGATGAAAAGGAAGTATACATGTGTCCCCATTTCCCATGGTGACGAATGCGGAAATTCTCGTAGTACTGTTATATCAATGAATTAATGGCTGATCTATACTGATATCTGCAAAGTACTGTCCATTTAGGGGCATAATTGTATAAAAGGTACGGATGATCTTCGGCGCACTCTTGTGAGTGTACTCATATCTCCCTAGTGTGATGTCTTGGAGTGCACAATTGTGGTGGGATTTTGGATACCCCCCATGCACAATTATTAAAACAGGTGGAATATCATGGCCTACTGTTTAGGCTTCTATTATAGGGAAAGCACTATAGTTCCAAATTCCTACCACTCTCCGGAGTGTTATTATATTAACGGAGATATAATGTGTAAACTCCTATTATTAGGAGGGTACCTTTGCAGGAAGTGTACACAGGCGTGTGAAGTAGTATTGTCTAAGAATTACTTATTCACTCCCAATGGTAACATTCCCAGAGTACTATTATGTGAACAATGTGGATGTTTGCGAAGTATTCAGATCTTAGGAATAGCATTGTGAAGTGAATACTAATGTATCGGGAGTACTATGATTTAAAGTGTATGGACATGCATGCCGTATCGTTATCTTTATCCGTCGTCCCTGGCAAGGATGGTACTGTATAAATGACACCATTGTAAGAAGTGGAGGAATATACTGGGTGTATTATTATAGAAAAGGTATGATGATATAGACAGTACACATCTGTCTAAAGTGGCAATGTTGGTAAAGAATAAAGCTGTATCGGGAATATTATTGTATAGGTTTACCGCTTATGCTGTTATTGTAAGGAAGGGAAAATATTTTATAACTAACACAAAGGTTGTAACACATTCATTTGAAAGAAAATATTTTCCCTGCACTCATGTGATATGTAGAGAGAAGGGAAAATGAGAAGTGACAATCTGTGGAGTGCAATGATATTCAAAATACAGTATTGTATGAGGGATAGGGATATTCTCAAGAACCGTCCTTTGGAAGATAGGGATTTTCCTACAATATGCCCATCGAAAATGCAAAAGTGTGTGAATTGCAATCTATGTACTTCAGCTTTCGGTTTGTATTCTTTGGGCAACACCAGCCATTGATGAGTATAGATCTCTATGAAATAGTATTATGTGAAGAATTGAGGGCTACATTCTAAAGAAAACAGCAAGCCATTAATTACGCGCAGGTGCAAGCACTATAACTGTGTCGAATGTATTATTGGCGGAGTAATACAATAGAGGCAGAAATACTTGCATATGGACAATGCAAGGATTCTAGTGGAGATGTTGTTTGTAATGTACAGTGTCGCAGGAATGCTCTTATGTGAAGGCCTCATAACATAGCGTTTTAGATAGGACTAATTGGAGAACGTGACTAATTGAGGAATAATGATTTATGTGTAGTATTATTTAAAAAATATCGCTCCCCACCGGACTACAGGCGTGTGGAATGTAGGCTTAGCATACATCCCTATTATATGAACCATGCGTCTATACCTCCAGTATTATTTTGTGTACTGTATACATGTCTCCTGAATATTATTC